CCAGCCCAACCGAATGCGGCAAAGACTCCCCCCCTGAGGTCCCTGAGGTCTCTTCCCATGGAAGCAAGCACTTGCAAGGTATCTACTCACTCTTGGGAACTTTAACTATCTACCCCCCAAACCCCACCAAAAACGAAACGGATGAAGTCACCTGTTACCTACAAGGAGAAGAGCCTGTCCTCCCCAACAAGACCAATTGGGGCGTACTGGACGGTAAGTATTGCATTACGATTTCTTTTTTCAGCATATGTCCAAACCAGGCGCTCTTCCGGTGTTGGCGCAGATTGCACTTCAACACTTGACTATCGCCACTTCTGGCGCCTTGGTGGAGAGAGCCTTCTCAATCTCTGGGAACATTGCCGTTCCATCCCAAGGCCGCCTTGACACCAAAGTGATTTGCCATCTGGTGCTGGTGCAACACTGGCTTGCAAGCTGGCATGCTTCCAATGCTGTGGTGAACGTTGATACACAGCAAGAGCAAGACGGTTTTTCAATTCACATATATCTACAAATTTTGTCCCTGAACCGTTGTTTACTACATTAAATACATGAAATATCCCCACTCAGTGATGAAATTGAACACACAATTGTTTCCAACCAGAACCACCCAACTGAGCGAGCCAATTTTGCCCTTTGCCTGGTTTTTTTAAGCGCAAGAACTGATTTCCACTGTTCGCCCAGTCTAAGCACAGTGAGCATACTCCCTGAGTCTGGAGTACTCTCGATGGCTTCACAAGTGAGTCTACTCACTGAGAGTAGACTCACTTGGCCTACGACTTGTCCCCGGGCCCCTCTTGAGGCCCGGGTCTCATCTGCCCTCGAGCCCGAAAATCAGTTGAGTATCCTACTCTGACTGTAACTTACATCCAGAGTACAAAATAAGAGTTTTGGACGTGGGGGACCGAGTGACTGAGTCGGAGTACACTCATACCTGCATCCCTGTATACAGGTGTGATCCTTAAAAGTCTGAATTTCCCCACATTCCCATCTGTTAATGACAAGTCACCAACAACTATTCCCTCAGACCAGAGCTTAACGATTAAGAGTTATATCAGACCAGACTTATATTTCATATACAAGGATCCCCATCAAAAGTGTTACACCGTGTCCTTGTGGCAGTCGCCCAACGACAAGAGCACACGGACTGCCTTTGAGGCACAAAGGCAACTCGTGTGCGCTTGTCGACGGGCAAACACCACACAGACATGGTGTTACATATGATAGAGGGAAACCCATTTACCATTGCGGTTTGCTTGCGGTTTGCTCAATATGTAGAGCTTGTTTGTCAAAATGGAGCATTCATTCTGGCTGAGAGCGGCGCCCGCCGCCCCCAAATGGCTAGTTATTTTTAAATAACAATCAGTCAGTTCATGATTGATTCTGGAAGCTGTTGGATTGGAGCCAAAGTGAAACAACCAGGTTGAAGATTGACATATAAAGATTGGATTAAAAGGATTGCTCTGTAATCTCCATTTCTGATCCATCATGCTTGATACAATTGAAGATACACTGATCAATCCAATGAACAATGCTGTGCAGTTGACTTGACCCTTCTTATCACTATTTGGATTTCATCTCAGCCTGAAACCACAGGCTGAGCAGGATTTAATTTGTGAAATGTTGGGGCCAGGCTGCCATAGGCTCAAACCCCCGACATTTCAGACATGAATCATAAGACTAAAAGCACAACTGTGTTTCTTGGCAGAACTGGATTAAACCCCCTAAGCCTTAACATCATGTATACCTTCAACTCCAATATCCTCAGAGTACAGATTTCAACTTCAACAATTGCTGAAGTTAGCTGTTGGACTTTCAACTTGATTGTGATATTCTGAAGCTGAAGTATATCACTTTTTGATCCATTTGTAGATCAGCCTGAGGTTTGGGTGAAGTGACACTCATTTCAATATTCATACAATCTATGCAGTTATCTAAATCTTCCAATAAACACTCAAAGCACTTGTTTCTTGTCAATACATTCCATAGTATATCAGGTTAATGAATTGAGGTGAATTATATCAAAAGTCCATTCAGCCATGATATAGGGCTTGAAAATTAATGATACTTGAATCATTTTTAATGAGTTACAGAGCTTAATGATGATTATAATGATATTTCATGAGGCTTAACTGAAGTTTAGTTGAATCATTTAATCCAAGGTTTAAAAGTGAAAAATTGGTATAATGAGATATCATTGATCACAATTGATTGAGCCAATAAATTAGTTGAAGTGTGAATTATTGAGACTTTTGATAACCAAAATTGACAGAGTCAATCAATCATTGAAATTTTAATTGATCATTGGAGTCAGCACACCTACATATGTAAAAGATCTAGATACTCTGAAACCATCCAAAACCATCTCTTTAGACTCTTGCTGATGTTGCCCTGTAAGGAAAGGTGGTCAAACTGCCCAGAAAATGTGAATAGCTCTCCAAATTGACTACCTGATGCTTGATCCTCTCAATTCATAGAGCTTTGATTGGCTTTTGTGGACAGATTGTATAACAGTATTGGATCATTTTGTTCATGGACAATATGAATTCTGCATATAAACCTACTCATCCAAATCAACTTTGAAATAGTAATTGAAGTTGATCACTTGTTATTAACAGATAGGAATGTTAAAACAACGGGGCTATTTACATTACATGTTATCTGACGGGTTGGATTGCTATCATATAGAAGTTGGTCGTTGAGTGACGTCATTCTTTGTTTACCACTTCTTCTTTACCGTTTCCTTACCAATATCATCTATTCTTTAACATTTCACTTGCAAACATCGTTGTTATCATTAAAGATAAAAAATTTTCTTCCCACCCACTCCTCCCTTATTTTATTTTGGTTCAGGAGTTTATTAGCTTTAGGCGTTATTTAAGTTGTGTATTGATTCAAGTATTCTTTAGTCCTAGGATAACTTGTGGTTTCTACTTCAAAAAGTTTGTTACAGTTATTCCATATTAGGCTTAAGAATCATTTCACATTTTGTTAAAAAGGTTATCATCTTAGCGTGATTGTTTTAACTTATGTGTCCGCTAGTCACCCCGTGGGGTGTTAGGTTAGGAATGTATGAAATTTATTGTCTCTTGGTTTGTGTACCAAGGGGCTTTCAGCCACACCTAACTAATATATTATGTTTCTTACGTTTGTGAGTGTTCTGGTTTAACACATTTCAAGATGTTTCACACACTTAGATCATATCAGGATTTGTGTCAACTCAAGGTCTATAGATCAAGCTTGAGTGATTGGTAAATAGTGGTGGCGGAGTAGAGTGGTTTGTAGGTTAAGATTTGTTTGGATTGATCACGTTTGATGAGCTCCTGGATGAAAACAAACAGGAGAATAGTCAAGTTTCTGAACAAAAGCTACCCATCAAACAAACTTGAAGGACATACTGTTTTATATGAGGTCTTCTAATTGATGAGCTCAAGATCAAAGGTCAAAAACCAAAACTGGGAGAGAAAGCAAAGAACATATATTTGTAAGGGTCAAAGTTGCAAGATTCTCTATAAGCTGCCTGAGTGAATGTAGTGTCAGCGCAAATGATACAGGTATGGTGAAGGTTTGGATGCCATATTTCTCTTGCGCAAAACTTTTAGATGTTGGAATTTGGTAGGTTGAACTTGAGCAGCTGAGAACTGTTGCTGGGTGAAAAGAACTTTAGGGCCGATTGAAAAGATTTGAAAGGAGATGTCTGGGAGAATCTTCCAATACAACTGCAGATGGTACCACACCTGCGCTTTGGCAGGGTAATACACTCTTGAGTTTTGTTTGCAATTGTACATGAACTGAGTAATACACACAATAAATCAAAATCAATCAATATAGAACATTAATAGCAGTGATTGAAACTTACTTTGTAACTTGATTTCTCTTAGGTTGGTTTGTAGAGGGGATGAAATAGATATGATGAGGTTCAAACCCAATCCAAAGTGGATTTGAATACTTTGATTGAATGAAATGAGGTTGCTTTGGAGACTTTGAGGGAAATTCCAAGTTGATTAATAACTAATTTGTGAAGAGATTGTGTTGAATTGAAAGGCTGAGAAGTTGAATTAGGATCATTGAAAATAATTGTTTTTGAATCTGAATGAGGTGTTAAAGTTGAAGTCAATGATAAAGATGAAGATAATGACAATAATGTAATGAATTTTGCTCTTTCTGTATGATCGGAGCTTCACAAATTTGGTGACAAAAACTGGCCCATCTAAACAATCAGTGAATCAGGTTGAAATAATTTTCAACCTCAGCTGCAAATCCAATGTCCAATCATTGTCTCATATGAATACCTGAATACTTTCAATGACGGGCAACAACAGCCAAACAACTTCAAACAATCTTTGCACATGCCAAGAAGAATCATTTGAATCAGTCTCCTTCAGCCAGCTTCTTGAGTTCATTCATTTGGCTATTTGATTTCAAAAGGTATGTTTTTTTGATTGACTTATGTCCGGCTCTGTTGTTTTCAAAACTGAGTACTGAAATTCTACTTTGATTTGGAATTTCAACCCATTTTTACTTCTACTTAATGCCATTAATCTTGAGATTTGATCCAGAAGGATTTGTTAATTTCAGGTTTGTTAAATGCCCTGCTTTCGAAAAACACAAGCTAACAAATGAACTGTTTTCTGTTGATTCTTGGTTGTTGAAAGACAATCAAGACTTCAACATTATCAGGTCAAGATTCAAATTGAGTAGATTAGCTAATGTGATGACATAAATATGATTATCAATCATTGTGCCTGAATGTCCTGTTTTAACATTGTCTCTATTTGTATTTATACTTGTGTGTGAGTCTCTCCAGGCTTAAGATATTGACTCAATTCAATTGAAAATTTAAAATAACCACCACGATGAAAATTGATATTTTTACCATTTAGAAAAATAGTAGCTTAATTGAGAAAGGAAAACTAAAAAATGGTCCAGAAACAATTGATCAGAAATCAAATTAAGATTTACAAGTAGAAAATGATTTTTAAAACATACCTAAAGCCTTAAAGTTAAATACCTTCATAATCAATTGCACCAAAGTTTAATAAAACCTTTTGATGATTCAAATCCTTTGAAATCACAAACATTTTTCTATACCAAAGATAAGTAAGATTATTTTCCATGATTCCACTTAATGAATTTTCCACACAAGATGGTATTAAAATCTCATGATTAAATCCCTTATTATCATTACCTCCAGGACTAAACAGAGGTGAATCTAATTCTAATGAATTATTTCCAAACTTAAGTTGAACGACTTGTTGTCCTAGATATTGACTTAAAAGAAATATGTAAACTTGAAACCCAACATAACCACCATACTTTTGATAGACCATAATGTGCTTCTAGTGTATCTGAGATCAGTCCTGCAAAGATTCGACCAAGACAATTAAAGACTGATAAAAGTGAGACTTGATTGGATTGAATATGAGAGACTGTGGATGAATTGTTTGGATCAGAAGGATGAGTAGAAGTAGGTGGATGTTCTTGAAAATCTAATGTTGCAATCATTGTACCGCTAATATAGAGAAATGTTAGTTGCAACTCCACAAAGATGTAAAAGATACCATGAGAATGCGCAGTTTCTGAGATTTTTTTTGGTTCTCTTGTGCCTTTTGATGAAAAGCAAAATCATCAGCCAAACCAAATCAGTTTCAGGTCTCAAAAAGCAAGTCATGGATTGGAAAAACAATTTGATTTCATTCAAGATTAATTTGAAACCATCTCATTCATATGTCTAAATCAAATGGCTAATTTGGCATATATACATTCGAGGAATAAATACAAATCTTCCATCTTCATCGTCCTTTGTAATTTTTTCAAGAATTCATTAGTTGTCATGACCTTTGATGGCTGATTTGATGGTTGATTTTCTTAATCTAGTAGATGGTTGTCTAGTTAATTGAGCTATACCCCCAAAAAAAATCAAAATCAAAACTGGATTCTGGTTTGCTTGTTATGGTAAAGAGAGAGAGAGACTTGCCACCACCTAATGAGGTTTTCTTCTTGATTAATTTGTTAAACTTATCTGATTCTAAGAATCAATCAATGGCCAATTCTTCAAGACCAAACCTCCCTTTCTTTTTAATCAAGCGAGTTGAAGTTTGAATGGCAGGAAACCAAGTACAATAAGCCTTCAATTCGATTTGTCTTTTGTTTAGATCCAAAAGATGATCCACCACTTTTGCCGGTTCTAATAATACTCTTGAATCAAATGTATGTTTTAAGTATTTACCAAATGACATGAAGGCTTGATAGAATGAAGAAGATGATGAATCTGATGTGATGGTAAGTTGATGATTTGGATCGGATTGTAAATTAGATAGATCTAAACAAGCTAATTTGTATAACTTTCATTGGATTGAACCTAACAATTTAAAACACAAATTCCATGCATCTATCTCATGATAAGCCAATTTAAAGAGTTCAGTTGTATTGATGATTTGAATGAATCCATCAATAAAATCTGAAAAATTATCAATTTCACATAAGATTGAATCCAATGAATTGTATAAATCATTCGAATCTGGAGTTTGATTGATTGAATCTTGCCATGATTTGATAGGTGTTTCAGGTTTTTTTAAACAAAAGTTTAAAAACAATTGGATTCCTAATGTATCTGAGATTTTGGGTTCTTCAACAATTGCTTGTAAGAAATCGTAACAGAAGTCTTTTTGAAAGGTTGAGGTTGCTTTTTGAATTGAGATTCTTAGAGCTGGTGTTAGTTTTGATGGGATTTGATGATCAATGGGTAAACCTGTGGTGAGGGTGGTCATGTTGTCTTTGTGAGATGGTGAAAAATCGAGTGAGAGTGTTAGGGTTAGAAGAATTGAGAATGTTTTGTACAATGGAAGAAAACGGGCTTTTGAAGAAGGCACGTCAAAGTAGAAAATATCCATATTTTGGCTTCAAACCTTATGGTTCATCGTGCCAATCATCTCTCACTTGGCTCGTGATTGACAGCTTCTAGAGACCGGGTCAGCACCCTCAATCACCCGACTTCAACTCCATGATATCTCATGGTATCCACTCATCGCAACCTCCTAGATCACGACGCAGTGGACTACAGACGTGAACTCTTCCCACGTTTGATTCCGCTCTTACAAGTTGTTATCTGCTTCTACGTAGATACAACCAATGAGCTTTGCATCAAGTCTGATTGCTAAACATGATCTCAGCCTTCGAAATGGCGAGATTGGCACGTTTGGGATCGGAAGTGTAGAGCTTGAGAGACTTCTTCAGGATGATTGTTCGTTTGACCTATGAATACATATATTGATGTCAGGAAGGGTTGTCAAGGAAATATTTGATGATATCTGATAAGGTGGAATTACTTACCACATAGTCAAAGTAATTCCACCGTGTGGGAGGGCAACTAAGTGGAAGGAGTAGAGGATTGTGTACACTGTTCCTGATCTTGATGAATGCCTCAAGTTCTTGAGGACTCTTGCGGATATGAGTGTCCAACACTCGAATGCGCCTAACAATAGTGGAGTTTTTTTTGCGAGTGGATATTGCCACAGTCGGTGAGTCTTTGGCAGCATTCCTGACTATATCTTGCTGCGTCGCCTGACTGATATCAAAATCTTCTTGGGTTGCCCCATGAAATTTGAGAGCATCAGACAAATTGTTTGGAGAAGGCAGCTGCTGCAGAGAAGCGCAAGGCAGGCACAGGTAAGCAAAAAGTGTCAAAAGAATGACAAATCTCTGCTTATGGTTTGATGGTGGGGTTATTCCTTTTAGTTTTTATATATTTTTCACCCACTCAGCTTTCCTCCAACCACTGTCTTTACTGTTTCCCCCTATCTACTCTTTACAAACTCAGAAAAACCCAAAAAAAATCATTTTCATTTTTTCCTCTTTGTGTTGTTTTTGTGTGGTTTCTTGCCTCTAATCTCTCTTTCTTGAATGTTTGAGCGTGCAAGTAATGACATTCTTATTATTTGCGAATCATGAGGCAACGGCAATGTCAAGAGTCGTGAACAACGGTGATTTTGGCCATTTAGATCAATCCGGTGGAATTGTTTTTCAAAAGGTGTAAAATTAATGATTGGGGGGAATGATATGTAATTTTCACTATCTTCTTTGGCACCAGATGATCCGGTGTGAAGACATCTAGTGCAAAATTACATATTAAGCACAGCCAACAAAGATGCCTTGGATTGAAGAATACAAGGTATCATTGGAATCAAATCCTTGGACAAGACCTGTCCAAGGGTTTCCATCTGATGATGCCTCAAATTTTTCAATCCGAGACATCTATGTTGGCAGTGAAGTATCAGTACATGCTGCATCTTCTTTTGTCTGCTTTGCTTGATGAAGATAAAATCAGATACCACTGAGCCAGGAGCATGAATGAGCTTTCATCATCTGAGAAAGTTCATTGCAAGTTTCAACAGCTTTGAACTTTGCTGTCAGATGGGATCAGACATGGCTGGTCAAGAAAACAACACACATTTTGTTTGATATTTCAGGGCATAAGTGCTTGTGAGTGTTGTTGTTGAATGAGTTGATTCACTGGAATCCAAATTGTAGAAAATTTGAATAAATGGCTATACTCAATGAACATTTACATTCCTTGATCTTGAGCAGTAAAAGTACCAATCAACCAGACCATTGAGCTCAAATTACTGAGGAAAACCAAACGCAAATGTTAAAATGGGCATAAGATAAGCAAATACAAGTCTGATAGGAGGGCAGGTTTCTCAAGGTTTTGCCAGGTTGCTTGTGATTGGAAGAATTATTATCTGATTTGGCCATATCTTTGATTTCTTTGTTGACTTTATGATCCAGATGATTGATGAGAGGTAGAAAGATCAATCAAGCTGAGTAGATGATTGGAAAGAATTTGGGATAAGACTCAAAGACAGACATATCTTCTTGAGATTTCCAGAGTTTCTTCCGGAACCCAAGAAGTTGCCTTTCTGGTGTGTTCTGGAATTTTGGCAAATTTGGATGCACCATATCATAAACTGTGTTGGCCCAAATGCCATAAGGGCTCTGACACTGGAAAAATTCTTCTAGACATTTCAAGAAGGTATTGGTATATCCTAATGGAGTAAATATCCAACTGGATGAGTCACTATCCAAAAGTGGTCCAGGAGGTGCATCCATCAATGAAAAAAAGACATCAAAAGTAGCAATGATGACACAAAAGGTCTTAAATATCAGTTGAAGGTGATTTTTGCAGAAAGTTTAGAACATTCTGTGATCTTCAAGGGAGATTGATTGATGATATGCTGTCTTGAATGGTTTCAATGAAGTTATAATTTGCTTTGGTTGATCAGGATGCTTTGATCCAATTATGATATAGAAAGTGTTGATCTGAAAATGATGAGTTTAGATGGTTTTGATGGAGTTGAAGTGATTAAGAATAGTTCTGAGTAAGCAGTGATTCTTTGATTGCTTCATTGGTTAATTTATGATTCAAATTTGAAGTTCACTTATGACTTTAGTTGAAGTTTTATCGAATTCAACCTCTCAAATGGCTTCATTCAGCATATTTGAGGGTCATAAGGAATTACTTAAGCTTGTCTCACTACGAGAAATGTGACATTTCCAGAGCCGGTCAGATCTATGTTTATATGTGTACATCACAGATCAGATATATGTATGACAGATATAGCCATCTCAGGGATCAGGTGTTATGGTAGCTGGTCATTCATCCTTTTTTTCATTGCCTCATGCACTCTTAATTCAGAACTACACCCACTTGTCTTGTAGGACAGAGGAAAGGTAAGTATCATCTCAACTAAAAGATGTGTAACAAATAAAAACTTAGTTACTTGATGACAGTAGTAAATAATCTACACTTTTCAAGTGCAGAAAGTCAGATCTACATAACAAAACTCTGATATTCTCAAAGTCCACCAAAAGTCTAAAACAAATCAATTGATCCCTTTCACAATTCAAGATTTCAGTTCAGATTAGGAAGACCAATCAACAGCTCTATTGCCATGCCCCAACCCTTTTGAGGGGCAATTCATGATCGGCTCAACCCAAAAATATATGTCATGACTACTAATAAACTTGTGTAGACTTTGGAAACTCACTCTCCAGCTAGCTTCCCAATCAGCTTCACAGTGTCAATGTACGGCACTGGCAGGCCAGTGAGTACAGTCCACCTCAAAACAATCTCAAAACAATACCAAAACAATATCAGATTGACTCCCAATTCACTTTGAGTGAGGGATATGCATGGGCTGCATATACTGGCAGATATGCATGAGGCTAGTTCAGTAGTACAGCTGAATATGGAAATCAATCTTCCAGAATCTTCCGGTGGCTTCTTCTAGATTGCTAATATGGTTGATTGAATTCTGAAAATTTCCTATGCAGGAAAGTTTATACTCATGTGGTATATTCCTTTGATCACGGACTCCTGTTAACAATCTTAATGGCAAGCCATGTGACAGCAGTGAAGCTCTACATATTCAAGGATGCATGCTCCTTACCAACTCTGATGAACATAGTTGTGAAAACTCTGTTCATCAAGACTTCAAGTAATAAATGTGTTGCCTATCCTCTTGCCTGTGACATGTCAGGAACTCTGGAGACATCTCATGAAAGTACCATGGATGACAAATGAATTGAATAACCAGATCCAGCCCAATACAGTGCATACATGAGACATATACAATTTTTTGTGGTGACAAGATAATAAAAATGTAGTTGAAAGATGACAGGTGTACAAGGAGAAATTTGACATTGAGACCACATTACAAATTTCCCTAATCACTATTATTATATCCATTGCATCATCTGTCAGATTCAGTTCTTGCACAAATCCCTGTAAAGTTGGATATTGCGTCAGGACATGTTCAACTGATGACTGAGTTGAGAATTTATCAGATTATTGAGCTGCACTATTGGAAGGGTTGGGCAAGCAATATCAAATATACCTGCCACATCATGTTGTACAACAAGCTGGCCAATCACTTTGTGACATGGAATCACATGATAATCCCCATGCAAATCATATATAACTGATGCATTCAGCAACCCTGGCAAAGAAGCATACAGGTCCTTTTACATGTCTTCAGCATTTAGGAATTCCTTCAGCAATCTCACTGCTAGAACCGGCTGGTTGACACCAGGGAGCTCAACAATGTCTGTGATGGTACCAACCCTATTACATGAGTCCAACAAGTATGATTTGTAGCTGTCCCCAGGTGTTTTGCTGTATGCACTATGTGGCTTGTTACAAATGACAAGACTTGTAGTGACATCAAAGCCAGATGCAGAAGTGTTTTCTGGGGCAAGGATGCCAAGTTTCTGGAGGGCATTGAATTCTTGAGGTCCACCTGAGCACTTATGTACTTACGCTATACCGTAGGGTCATACAGACTTGACTATGACCCAATGGGATTTGAGAGACCTCACACAGGTTATCCTGAGGAGCATCTTTGAGTATCCCCAATTTGGCTAAGTCCATGATTTCCCTTAAGGCAGCACCTCCCCAAGTGTGAACCTGCCTGACATGACCGCCTGTGGAGCATGTATTAATTGACTTACATACCCATGAGAAATGACGTATTGTGAAGGTCAGATGAGCTGAATCTTGGCAGCAGTGCACTTCAGGTGACCTGGTGCACCTTTTTCGACCCATAAATCTCAACGTTTTACATCATAGACAAGCCCCTTTTTTGTGTTTGGATCATCACTCAGCATCAAACACTCTCTAAACACACGTACCTTGCCCAAAAGTTGGACACTGGACCAACAGAAGTAGCCAGGTCAATAAAAGTGCTCTGAGGCACTGCCAGAACGCTCTGAG